GTGCCATTATTGGCGATGAAACTAGCCATGTCAATTGGCTTGCTGTCGATAGAGAGGTTCCTCATGCAGCCGACAAACTGTCTGTTGTGCACTGGGAAATCTTCTGGCAAGTTTGGGACACCGCCAAGGAGGAGAGGGCCAGTGAGGTCCAAAGATCTGAAAAAATAAAGAAATGCTCATAATTTCTTGTACAGGGTTTGTTTCGTTTTGTTCTTTATCTTACTGCTTCCATAAGCACATCTGAGCTGTTTAGTCTGCCTATATTGCCATGAACTTCCCTCTGCTACATCAGCGCTTTCAGAGCTTGTAATCGAAGGATCTTCCAGAAACATCACTAACTTTTAACGTGGGAGCTGTCATCACATACAGAACCCTATGACCTCTCTGTAACAGTGGCCAGTATGAAAGAGAAAATGAAAATTATGGAAAAATGTGCAGCCACAGGACACTTCCTTCTGACTCCAGTCATGCTCCTCAGCACAAGGGTTGCGATGCTGTAGATTTTGATACAATTACTTAATTATCATACAGCGATGACCCTTTTAAAATCCTCTGAAGATCTCAGTCTTAATAACATTCAATGGATGCAGGTTCCGCTGAATGACTCCACACTTTGTGAAAAGTGTATGACCTGGTCAGTTTGAATTAGCCCTGATTTTTATGGTGCCCTCTCCTCTTGGGATTTTACAGCAGCATGTGTACCTCAATGGTCTTTCTGCTATCACTCATTACCTTATATTCCCGCTACATTGCTTGCTGTCCATCTCCTCTTTAAACTCAAAAATACTAATCTTTTTTGGTCTTTCCTCAAAGAAAAACTTTTCTCCTTCCTAACGATTTTCAATGGCCTTTTCTGTGTCTCATTTATTTCTATCTCCTTTAGAGACAAGACTTTCAACTCATATACTTAAATGACAGACATAATAAGCTCTTCAGCAATCACTTTCATTAATGAAGTCTAACATTTTATTTGCCCTTCTCTCTCCATTTTCATACTGAGTAGATGCTTTTTGTGGGATGGCCACACTGAACTCCGTTTTTGGAGGTTTTTTTTACATTTTACAAGTAATTTGGGTGCATGTGTGTATCTACACAAAACTCTCTGCATTCCACCCAGTTTATTGCCAATTGCAGTAGCCTCCAACAAATTCCATTGCCAAAATAAATCTTCTTACTTTTTCTTGTTAAATCATAACTGCTTTTCCAATTCTATTTGCTTAGTGGTTAATCACATACTGTTGACTCTCCCCTGGAAGAAGAGAATGAGTGGAACAGGCAGTAGAGGGAATCCTTACTTCTTGGAGCCGGTCTGAGTCCCCTGGGCAGCGCAGGTGTAATTTCCAATGAGGCTCCCGAAGCGCACGGCTACTGCTGTGTCACAGTCATCCACAGTCACCACTGCCACCTTCTCTCCAGAGGGCCCATGGGGAATTCCTAATCGCCCAATGTTGGGCTTCAAGAAAGAATTGGCACATGTCATAAAGTCCTACGTACACATGGGGTTTAGATGCTGGTTCAGCCAGCTCAACAACATACTTTGTCCTACCCCCAAAGGGGACTAAAATAGGTTATGTAAACAAAACAGCAGAAGTTAACTTGACCTATGACATTTAGGCAAGGAAAAAAACCCAATGGATGACTTCAGAGAGAGTTTACAGTGGGATATACAGCATGGCCAGAAATGGCTTTGGGCTTTTCCACCGCTGAACTGCTTGGGCCCAAATCACTTCAAAGAGGCTTTTTCTTAAGTCTGCATAGCAAACTCTAACAATTCTGCTCATTTTGTAACTCTTCACCTCAAATGAAAGAAGTCACTTGATTTTTGACATTGTTTCTGCCCAAACACAGAAAACCATAAAATGATGTAATGTCACAAGTGAGGCTAAATAAAGGCTTAAGTCAAATTTTCTCCAATGGGGATACTCTGTCAGGGCCACCAGAAACTAAGTGCAGGTTCTTATAAAGCTGTAGTGAAAGGTTGTCTCATAACTGGGAGGGGGCTTAGATAATGACCTCTCATTTCAACTACAAGATAGAGAGTGTGTATAAAGGCCAGCATAGCAGCCTTAGTAAAGAACTAGACAATTCTGTCAGAAAACTGTTTTCCATGTTTAGTGTTTGCAGAACTACCGAACCCTAATCTACCACTGGCTCAGGATCTCTGCAGACTTCAGGGATTCAGGAGAAGCTGAACGAGCCTGAGTGCTGTTGTTCCTCTATGAGCAAAGGGAAACCCCACAAGAGTGGAGTCACCAGGATCTGACCAGACACATGGCACAGCCGAAAGCCATAGAGGTATTCTTATGATGTGTTGATCAACAGTAGTTATAACCATATGAAAACAGCGGACAGCTGGACATCGCACTGTAGTTTGCTGTATGGACACTTTAAAACATATATTACTCAACTGCATACTGAAATCCCTTATTTGCAGAGTAAATACAGAAGCAGTACAGGGATAAGAAGTGCCCATTGTTTTTGTTTCGGTTGTACACACATAAATTTGTTAAAATACATACAGCCATTTTGACCACGCATCAAAATGAAATACAGATTTATTTCTAAGGACAATTATCCCAACGTATAAAAACATTTTTAAAAGCTGCTTCCTGGTGTCAATTCCAGTTGGAAAGTATTTTCCATTTCCTCCACCAAGAACTAATGTGATCACATATTTTGGCAGTGGCACAGTATAAGGTTTTGAACTCTCCTGAGTGATATTAAGTCAGATTTTATTTTTTCCGATACTCCCAGGCCTTTGCCACTGCCTAGCCTGGAACGACAGGAAGCCTACATATTTGCAGTGCTGAAAATGTTATTGTGTTAGATGATGGCAGTGTTTGTTACTGAGCAGCTTTTCAAAGTGAATGAAAAATTACATAGAAAATTAACGAAGCCACTGGCAGCCCTTCCCTTCCAAAATTAAAATGTTTACATTCTGGGTGCTACTCCTATTCATTTGAAGGAACGATCCGATTGACATTTGTGGTTTTGTGCTTCACTGACATAACTTATTGTTTCTTACATGGGCGCCTTGACAAAGGCAGGGTAGTTATTCTCGCAGCAGGGGGGATCTGCCCAATGTTAATCAAGATTGCAACCTGATGAGAGTCAGCAGTTTGCAGCTGCTCCTTCACAGTCAACTAGCTGCAGTGGTGCACTGAGTTTTTCTGTACTTCTATTTAACACAGAAACTGCAAAGTGTTTCTCTAGATGTTGACTGTTCATTGCAGTGCAGATCTCCGGCATCTTTTTGGCTCTGATAACCACACAGAACAACAAGCTGATGAAGAAGAAATAGAATATTCCAGTGAATGAAAAGAGACCTACTTGCAGTTCATACTTAATTCAAACACGTCATAATTTTCTGACCATGTCAAAAGGCTCATTTGACACAAAAGGCTTTTCCCAAAATGTAAGAATATGTTGACGGGAGAGGAAAGAGAGATTTTTCTAGCTGATTTAATACGACATGGACTCTTTTTTCTCTTATATATGGCAAGTGCTACACTACTCATCATCTCAGCGCCTAGTATAGGGAATACTTTATCAACTGAAATAATGTGAAATAGTTAAAAAGACTGGAATAGAGGGAGCCCAAGTTAGGAGCTCTTTCAGAGTTACATCATGAAACTGATTTTATTCATTTAATATTTTGATTAATACTAAATATAGTTTGCTGGTGAATCAAAGGATATTTAGAGCATTGTGCATTTGAATAGTTGAGTGCTACAAAGAGAATTAATCACACAGCATGAAACCTGGGGTCTAACGACAAGAATTCCTATAGCAGGTTCAGAGACCATCAGCTATAAATGATGAAAAGTAAGAAATATATAGCTATTAATTGACTACAAAACAATTATGCCCCATGGAGTGATTAAAAGGCAAAAAAGGCAATACAACAGTGGTTTGTTACAAAGATGGGCATGAGACAAATTTCATGACACTGAACAAGATAGAATATTTTTGACCATTTTGAGTTCATTTATTAAAAATAACTTTTATCTAGAGCATATGCAGCCAGAGCAATGGAAAGCTTACCTTATCAAACAGACAAAATGGACTTGGCTTCTTTGGCCTAGCAAAGTAAAGGCTGGGGAAGGGTTTTGGAAAAAAGATGTTGTTACTGCAACAGACAAATTGCAGAACAAATGGGTATAAGATGCCCATGAGTAAAGCAAGCTGGAAGGCACCAGGTGATGCTCAGTCATAGGAGGATCATCACTGGGAAAACAGCAAGGGCGAAAATTATAAAAAAGAGCTTAATTTGTTTGTGAAATACACACAAAAGTGAATTGCCAACACTAAATGGCAGCACGCACATTCACATTTCAGGTATGATCTTTGCCTCGATGGAATCCTACTGGAGCAAGACTGATCCCTAACAGTAGGAACAGCTAACACTAACCAGCATTAATTTACACTATTATTTTCTGGAAAAATGTTCAAGGAGTTAAAAGCCAGACTTTCATCTGGGTACTTAGGAGTCCTTTCTGCCTGTCAGCCTCATCTCCTGAAACCCCATGCTACCCGAAAGGCAAGTTTCATTAGCTGTGCCAGTTCTGCACCCGTGAGTAAATGTGCAATGTGGTGTACAGGAATTTACCAGCATGACCCCCATTAATGGTAATACAAGTCATGTAACTGAGTTACTGCTCATGGGGCTGAAAATTTACCTTGTGCTGCCTAACCCTAAAGGCTCCTTTTTTGCCCAGAAAGAGGTTGGGATTCAAACTTCAAAGACCGCATGCTGTAAAATTAAGTAGCAAGAACGGGTACCAAACAGTGCTAGAGACAGAACCTGGTCTCCCTTAAACAAAAACTTGGAAAACTGGATATATCCTGGATTCAAAAAGGAAAAAAAAGAAAGCAGTCCTAAGTGTTGCAGTCTATTATCACAATTACACAGTGATCTTCAAACGTCCTGTGAACTCCATATAAAGCGTGTCGAGTCTGTTGTACTGACCCTTGTGTTTTCTTGTTATAATCACATACAGAGTCACTTGGCGAAGAAGCAGCCCTGACTCAGGATCCACATGTGAGAGCAGAAGGCACCTACCTTTCTTTCTACCTGTAAAGTAAGATGAACCACATTTATGTTCCTCAAATAATGGCAATTAGTACCTAACATTGTACATAATGTCATGAAATAACCTTGCCTCACTGTTCTTTCCTGAAGGAAATTAGTGGTTTTGATCTATGGATGGACAATCTCAAATCTTGTGTCTAACCCCTGACATTCAACCCTGTCCAGAGTCACGGGCAGATTGCACGAATGACAGCTTCCCTTTCTGACCACAGTGGAATTAACAGAGACTCATCTACTGTCCTCAGTGGTGACCTAGAGGAGTGACCTTCTCCAGCTGCAAAGGTGCATGCAACTCCCTTTGGCCACCTGCGCTGACTTTCTCAGGTTGCAGTGAGAGAACAGCACCACGAAGGTATTTTACTAGTGATGCCAAACCTGATTTCTGTGAAACCCAAGTACAGAGCAATGAACTGTTTGGACTTCTCCCCACAGCTTCACCAAAAACACATGTAGATTCTCCCAGGTGCATGCAAAAACCCTGAGAAGCTTAATCTGTGAACTTGTGTTTTATAAATGAAGACCAGATAGAGGAGAAAAGGTCATCAAAACACATCTGTTTGTAGTTTGCAAATCTACTGCACAAATCTACTCCCATTCCACTTGAAACACTAGACATAGATATTCCTCTGTATCTCAGTTTCATTGGAATCCTCTATTATTTTAAAGTCAATACTTAAACTGCGGGAGCCCACACAGTTACTTATTAAAGACACAGATGGTCTAACGATGCAGAGTGAAGTGGAAAAGGCAAACAGATTAAGGGACAATAGAAGCCTTGTCTTAAATACTTAACTGTTATGTTTTCACATTAAAAATACCATTGTTTTGAAAAGTCATGATGCAGAATTGTTGGAAAGGTTTAAGCAAATAGTCCAATCTTTGTAACCTTATTTTGAATTAAACCAGACTAGATACTGTACATGTAATAGAAATACTACAAAGTGCAAATGTTTGTTTAGTCAATCAGCAGCAGCAGTGACACTCAGATTCCTAGATCCCACCCTTTTATTAGTTAATCTGCAAGATAACAGTGCTTTTCCAAAGGTCCCACAAACATCTCCTCTACCAGAAACACCTTTTCCCAACTTTCATTCTTAGATAAACAATTGCCACTTGACTTTTCCCACAGATGGAAAGAGGGAGAGTGTTTTTGTCTGGCCATGGGAGTGTTCCAACATCACAGATATTCCCTGAACTCAAACTGAAAGCTGTGCTCTCCATCCCAAACCTTGGCTATGAGGATTTCCGCCACTTTAGCCACGCCATTGAGCCTGTTGAAGGAGCTTGAGGAGACGATTCAGCAGCAGACTGTAAATATGGCCAAGACTTTGAGAACACAAACTGGGAACCCTTGCAGATGAGACATAACCCACCTCATTATTCTCAGCATGAGGAGACCTGTTTTCTTGGGGGACAGATATAATGTTGTATAACTTAAATACTGCATTTGCTCAGCTCACTGTACTCATTCAAAAATGTATCTATTTTTAGGAAGTTGGTCTTTTTCTAAATGCTTTGTGTGGCATAGCTTTAATATGCAGAGCTTGACTTGCCTTTTTAATAAGTGCAAAAGTGTAAAAAGAAAAGCCATCCTGAAGTCAGTGCCAGCCTTTCAGTGCTTCCAAGAGTCTGCTTACCGGACAATAAGTTACCCTTCTGTTTTTGTTAATCAGTAGCTAATGATTTATTGACTGTTTGGAGTGGTTAAAGGTTAAAAAGAATCTGTTTCCTAGTTATTTTTAATACAAAAACTCCTCTCCTATGCACTGTTAGTGCGCTGGTTCTGACCCCACCACCACCCAAAGTTATGGGTGGAAAATGCCTCATGTTCATACCGTTTGGGGCTCTTTGCTTTCTAACACTTCCACCTACACTAACAATGGGAAGAAACGGAGCAACTGGCATCAAGTCCCACTGGAGGCTGCTGCTGGGACTCCGGCCGGGTCCCCCCCCTTATGGGATCCCTGGTGCTCATTAGGCAGCCTGCCAGGCGCCCGGCTCCTTCGTTAACCCGCCGGCCTCTGCTCTGCTATCTGCCGTGGGGAAGGGAGAACTCCCCTCCCGTTCCCAGGCGATGCTGTGCTGCTTCAGTGGTCAAAAAGCTCATTAAGGGCTCGAGGCGGCGGCAGTCTCCCTGGGCAAGCTGCTGGAGCCCAGCCCCCCACAAGGGAATAAATAAATAAACAGGAAAAAAACCCAAAACGGGGAAAGCGCCACACTTGTAATCCCAGGGGCAGCCGAGGAAATGCCAGAGAAGTTCAGCGCCACGGTTTGCAGACCATTCTGATCCATCGGGAAACTCCAAATTAGGCCAGATTAGAGGAACTGTTAACGTTAATCTGTGCTTTTTAAAGTTTCCTCCTACAGCTTTTCCAGAGCACCTTTAAAATGAAGCGGTGTGAATCCTTTACACATCCTGATTAGTCACCAGGGAAAGGCAGGACAAATCATTTCACATAAACCCCTTACTCCTTTGATGTATGTATCCCCTTTATTCCCCAGATATTTTAATGGCATTTCTTTACACAAACTTGGCTCGAGTGTGTAGAGAAACATGAGAGCCTGTGACAGTGAAAAGGAAAACTAAAAGGCTTCCCATCAGTGAGTCAAAAATGCAAATCCTGAAAAGCCACCAGACCAGTTCCTTTTCCTAGACAAACTCCCTGAAACACGGATTGTCAGGAGCAAGGCTGGGCTACAAAGTCAAGCAAGTTTTACTACCCTGATCTGTTATCTCCTTCACGGGCACATCCAGAGGCTAAACTTTGATATTCAAAGCAGGAGGCTTAAGGCACAGCTATGAGACCTGTCACGCATGAACAGCATGGCCTGAATTGCTGCTGCTCTTTCAGTGGCAGGGCAGAGAGGGAAGCAGCCCTCCTGTCCCACCATGGGGACAAGGTAAAGCTGTTACACATACACAGCATCCAGACTTGCTCCTTCCCTCCACAGAGTATGGCCAGTACCTTCACAAATATCATCCCACTCCTGCAAAGGGTATATTCTTGGATTTGACTAATTCTGTCAAAGGCTGTGGAGTGCTCATGGGAAGAACGGTTTTCCCTGCTTGCAAATGGAAATTTTATCCTCAAATTCGTATTCCCAGGTGCTTCTCAGCTCTTTGATGCTGAATCAGTGACTCAGCAAGAAGGACCTGTTTTGGCTGTCAAGAGACCATGCCCACTCCCCAAGACAACATTCAACTTTCTGCATGGGAGACACCACTCACGGTGCTCTGTTGCTGCAGCCCCTCTCTTCCATACTGTGCAGCCCACTCCTCCCCTTTGATAAGCTCCTGTGGCTGTAGCACCTTCCCCCTGCTCTCCAAACCCTTTTTTTTTTCTCTGTTTTGCTGCCTCCCTGCCTTTCACCAACAAGGATGTTCTTCCAGCATCTTCGGAGACTGGGAAACATGAGGGATGCTAAAAGAGCATGCTCTCCTCTCCTAGTTCATCAAACCCTTCTCCCTTTGCCACTTGTCCATATCTACATACCAAAGAACCACACTCTCAAATATTTTTGGCTTTATATAAATTTTGTAAGCTTGTAATCCAGGATGCAAATGTCATTGCTGACAGACTCCAAGGAATACCTAGAAATAGCAGAATGTGACACTCACAGCAACTAACTCCTCCTTGAACTCATCCCTGGTGATACCTTGCCAAGCAAACTGCTGCTCAGTGTGGCTGATGGGGACACAGATATGTCTATAAATCCAAGAATCCCACACTGGATCTTTGCAAGGGTCTCCTGGTACACACAGACCTCTCCATGGCCAGGTAACTGCAAACTGCTGCTTCCCCTCACTACAGAGACAGATGCAAAATACCTGAAAAGTTACTGCAAATCAGGCAGCTACTGTAGATTTACTGAGTGATTAAATGGAGATAACAGCGCACTTCAAAGAACTCGCACCAAATTCCTGAGGTGCCATTTCGTTGACTCTGCTGGCTTTGCACCAGGCTGGGCTGCACAGCACAGCCTTCAAGCACCGTCCTCAGGCCTTGTGGTGAGCCAAGGGCCATTCAGACTCAGCCAGCTCTCATGGAGGTCCCTTGCATCTCCTTGGCCTTCAGGAGGAGCTGAAAATCACCATTCTGGAGAGTAAACCTCTGAGGAGTTTTGTGGTGTGATGGTATTAGATGGTACTAGATGGCTTGAATGAACCCAGCTCCTGTGTGGGGTGGGCAGTGCTGTAACTGGGCACACAAATCAAGCCTTTTAAAACTTGGGAGGAGTGAGAGGAGTAAACAGCATTTCTTAGGATGAGCCTCGCAGAAGAGCAGGGGCTTGGGTTGGCTTTGCATGACATGGTCCCTACTGCCACTTAGAGAGCAAAAAACCTGTGGATGGTTTCTGAAAAGTTACTGTTTGCATTTGGTTATAAAATCACTGCCACAACAAGGAACGTTTTCAGATGGTGTTTGCAAACTGTGAGAACACCACTTCCAAAAGCAGGTTGTAGGAGAGAAAGATGCAGGCACTGGGTATGAGCTCGCCCTCTTCCTCCCCAGCCGCCGGAGAGACCTCTCAAAGCTATCATGGAGAGCTGAGGAGCAGGTCACACTTCGCATCTCAGTGACCCCCAAATGACTTTCACTGCTTTACACTTTCATTTCCCGAGACACAGATTTAGAGGCGAGTTATTTGTTATTTTGTGTCAAGACAATGGAATGTCGCTCTGCCGCCAAATCCTGATTTCCTTTCCCAGATATCAATCACTTCGCACTTACCCTCTACCAGAAAGAAACCCCCCAAAATCAACAAAAACAATGACTACTAATGCAGGATGAATAAGAATCAGTGCAGTTACAGGGAGGGGCTTTTAAAGTCCAAGCTCACCTGTTCTGCAACAGCAGATCAGCTTCCCCCCACCCCGAACACCTGCAAAGGCTCTGCAACCACATTTGAGAGGACCAAGAGAAAGTAAATATTAGCCAGGCAGCCCTTCAGTGCTTCTCAGGAGATGTCAGGAATGTAAATGGTTGCCACAGGCCAGACCAAAGTCCCGCTCAGGGTGTGGTAGGTGCTGTGGAAGAGCCTAAAAGCAGGGCAAATGTGCAGCAAAACTTCGCTTGTCCTCCTGGGTCTCGGCTTCCTACCTGCAATACCGCAGGCTGGAGCTCAGGATGGGTTTTCACAGGATCATGCCATATTTTATGGATGGAAGTGAATCATCATCTAATCAATCTTGGTCTTATACAGCCATAGAACATCAGCCAGTGAGTCCTGCTTCAATAGCAATGCTTGCACCCAAGCTGAATTTTTCCTTTAGAAAGGGAAATACTGGCTTGATGTAATGATTTAAAAGGACAGAGCGACTATCAGAACTGTGGGAAGATTGTCCATGGCAGGAGGGTTGGAAACAGATGATCTTTAAAGTCCCTTCCAACCCAAACCATTCTGTGATTCTAGGATTTCTAATCAGAACCTGTCAAGCTTCATTTTGTTATGTACCAAGTCTGTGGTCTTACCTAGACTCGGAACTTCCTTCATGATGCTCTGGATCTCTGTGAAAAAATGAGTTTGGCCTCAGCAAGGACAGGAGTTTCTGAATCTTCAGCCAGAATGCCAGGAAATGACTCATAAACCAAACTATTTTTGCAGAGATTACCTTTTTTCGTGGCATTATAAAAACTGAGTTCTGACCACGTAGGAAATGACATGTTTTACATCATGACATGAGGAACATGTTTTATGTGTTTGACTGGAACAACAGTTTGAATGTACAGGGTTGGCATGCATTCAGCAATGGAAAGCCTAATTTCTTCCCCTTCCTTTATCTGCTTGTAATTTTAATTGATAGGTTTTTTAAATGGCCATGCCCACTTGCTCCAAAAGTAAATAGGACAGATTAATACAAACGCACATCTACAAATTCCTCATACCCTCATACTGTACATGTGCCTCCAGCACTGCCTACTGTATGCTTCACAAGCCTGCCCACCAGAAAGCACTATATCCTGCTGATAGACTAACTCTTGTTCTTGTAAGAAAGTTGTGAAAGAACTATCATAGCCAGCATCTGGCTAACAATACTAACAATAAGCAAAAACTCATTGATACCTTGAGTTGAAAAGTAAATGAAACATGCACATCCCTCTAGATGTTTGTTACAAATATTAGTTGTACTAGCACAGAAAGTGACTTTTTCACTTGAAAAGTGATTTTTTTCCTCATCTAACTGAAGAGACCCCAGCAACTTGCTCTGTGAAGAAGAGGCCCTGCAATTACACAGGTAACCACAGATAAGTCCTTCTCAAAACTAGAGGAATGAATTGAGTGCGGTCACACTCATTGTGTTTTTGGTGTCCTGCAAGCTTTTCTCTGCTTAAGCTATGGCGGAATTTTTGATCCCACGAAAATGCCATAGAAGGAAAGACATCCAGCACAAATTGATGATCTGGTG